TTCTGGAATATCCACCATTCATCATAACTTGGTAATGTCATGTTGAAGCTCATTCTTTCTGTGAATGGCAGAACTCAGTTCCTGCAAGAATTTGTCCTGTGCTGGTAAGTTTGTAACTGAGTTTGGCTTCAGCTGTGCCACCAACACTGATGTGGTGTCCACTGGAGCGATATCCTGGTTAATTGATAACATTACATTGACATCCTGTACTTCCTCATAGACGGGTTCATTGTTAGTGTTCTTGTCTTTCTCATGCTGTTCAAACACATCATGTTGCGTCTTCATTGGCTGCAAGGCAGAAAAGCAATGTTGATATGTAAGTAGTAATCTCAGGATCACAGACTTGGTTTGAACAATTCTTGGCCATTGTTGACTAGGATGCATATTGGAGGATGAAACTGTAAATGGAGGCACCTCTGACACAAACTCCTGCCTGTGATCACATATCACCAATCCATTCTACCCGTTCATTGATGACACTTATGACCCTGACTTCTTTATTCGGGAGGATGATGCAAGCACAGAATTCAAGGAGATGGACAGTGAAGTTCTTGAGCGGATTAATATAAGAAGTGAGGAGGTTTTTGCGATTTTGGCAGATTTAAAAGTGACTAAATCCTAGGTCTGGATGAGTTGTATACCAGGCTGCTGTGGGAGATGAGGGAGGAAATTAAAGGACCTTGATCCAAATTTTAAATTGTCTTTGGCCACAGGAAAGTGCCAGAGGATTGGAGGACAAGTAATGTCGCTAGTGAAGGGGATTGTCGGAGAATGCAGCAGAGTATAGATAGATTGGAGAGTTGGGCAGAGAAATGGCAGATGGAGTTCAATCCAGGCAAATGCGAGGTGATGCATTTTGGAAGATCCAATTCAAGAGCGAACTATACGGTAAATGGAAAAGCCCTGGGGAAAATTGATGCACAGAGAGATCTGGGTGTTCAGGTCCATTGTACTCTGAAGGTGGCAACACAGGTCGATAGAGTGGTCAAGAAGGCATATGGCATGCTTTCATTCATCGGACGGGGTATTGAGTACAAGAGTTGGCAGGTAATGTTACAGTTGTATAGGACTTTGGTTCGACCACATTTGGAATACTGCGTACATTTCTGGTTGCCACATTACCAAAAGGATGTGGATGCTTTGGAGAGGGTGCAGAGGAGGTTCACCAGGATGTTGACTGATATGGAGGGCGCTAGCTATGAAGAGAGGTTGATTAGATTAGGATTATTTACATTAGAAAGATGGAGGTTGAGGGGGGACCTGATGGAGGTCTACAAAATCATGAGAGGTATAGACAGGGTGGATAGCAAGAAGCTTTTTCCCAGAATGGGGGACTCAATTATTAGGGGTCACGATTTCAAGGTGAGAGGGGAAAAGTTTAAGGGAGACGTGCGTGAAAAGTTCTTTACGCAGAGGGTGTTGGGTGCCTGGAACGCGTTGCCAGCCGAAGTGGTGGAGGCGGGCACGATAGCCTCATTTAAGATGTATCTGGACAGATACATGAATGGGCAGGGAGCAGAGGGATACAGATCCTTGGAAAATAGGTGACAGGTTTAGATGGAGGATCTGGATCGGCGCAGGCTTGGAGGGTCAAAGGGCCTGTTCCTGTGCAGTAATTTTCTTTGTTCTTTGTTCTTTTCTCTGTTTGTATCTGTCTCAAACTGCCTTTCCACTTACTTTTGTGTCATCTGCAAATTTAGCCACAGTACATTGGTTTCCTTCTTCTAAGTCATTACTATATTTTGTAAACAATTGCGGTCCCAGCATTGATCTCGGTGGAACCACACTGATCACAGATTGCCAACCTGAAAAAGAACCTCTTATTCCAATCACTGTTTCCTGCCCATGAGCTAATTCTCTATCCATGTCAATATATTCCCCTTAACAGCAAGGGCTCTTATTTCATGACTTAACCTTTTGTGAAAGACCTCGTCGAATGCCTCCTGGAAGTTCAAGTACAATACAGCTATTGGTTCCCCCAACTCATTCTGGTTAAGACTTCTTCAAAAAACTCAAATTAGTCAGGCTAGTCAAATAAATTAGTCAAGCACACCGACACCCACAGCTACCTGGACTACACCTCCTCTCATCCACCTTCCTTCAAGAATGCGATCCCCTATTTCCAATTCCTCCGCCTCCACCGCGTCTGCTCCCAAGATGGGGCGTTCCACTCCCGAACATCCCCCATGTCCTCGTATTTCAAGGACCGAAACCTCCCCCTTCAGTGGTCGAAAATGCTCTCGACCGCATCTCTTACGTTTCCCGCACCTCTGCCCTCACATCCACTCACCACAATAAAAATAAAGACAGAATCCCCCTTGTCCTCACATATCACCCCACTAACCTGTGGATTCAACGTATCATTCTCCGCCACTTCCACCACCTGCAATCCAACCCCACAACCAAAGGTATATTCCCCTCCCCACCCTGTCTGCCTTCCGTAGGGACTGCTCTCTCTACAACTCCCTTGTCCGCTCCACACTCCCCACTAGCCCCACCACCCCCGGCACCTTTCCCTGCAACCAGAGGAAGTGCTACACCTGCCCCTACATCTCCCCCCTCACCTCCATCCAAAGAACCAAAAATCCTTTCACATCAGACAGAGGTTCACCTGCACATCTGTCAATGTGGTCTATTGCATCCACTGTTTTCAATGTGGCCTCCTCTACATTGGTGAGACAAAGCTAGAGGCTTGGAGACCACTTTTTCAAGCACCTGTGCTCCATTCACAACAAACGACAACACCTTCCGGTCACGTACCATTTCAACTCCCCCTCCCACTCCCTGGGCGACATGTCCATCCTGGGCCTCCTCCAGTGCCACAACGACTTCACCGGGAAACTGGAGGAGCAGCACCTCATATTCCGCCTTGGGAACCTACACTCCAATGATCTCAATATGGACTTTATCAATTTCAAAATCTCCCTACCCCCGACCTCATCCCATGACCTACCCTCCCTCTTATCCCTGCCTCCTTGACTTGACACAACCTGTCCATTTTCTTTCCCACCTATCAGCTCATCCCACCTCACTGACCAATCCCCACCACAACCTACCTGCACTCACCTATCACTATCCCACCTACATTCCCCAGCCCCACCCCTCCTCTCTATTTATTTCACAGCTCCATTTCTGAAGAAGGGTCCTGACCCGAAACCTCACCTTTCCTGTTCCTTTGATGCTGCCTGGCCTGCCGTGCTCCTCCAGCTGCACACTGTATTATACTCAAATACTTTCTTCCTTTTGATAATCTTTGAACTTGGAAACTTCTTCCCTCCTCATCCAGGAAATGTTTTTTGTTCGGGGTTCACATGGGTTGCTAGCTTGAGGGAGAAATATTACTTTCCATGTTCTTTTTGAACCTTATTAGACTATGTGTACCCACTTTTGAGGCTGTCCCTGAAAGTGTCAGATTTCCACAGTGCTGAGCCCTGAAAGATCTGGGTTCTGTCCCCCACTCCCATTTCCTTTTACTCACTGCTTCTCCATTTCATTCCTCAATAACAAGTATTTCAAAGCCATGTGATTAGAGATCATCCTTACAATATAAATATGTGATTTAGAAGTTTGGTAATATTGCCTCTGATACCTCTCCAATGGGCCAAATGAGATTGATCAACAATAACATAAAGGCCTCAAGCAGCTTGGAACATTGATCTTTTAAATAAAATATGCAGAAACCACTTTCACAGTATAAATTTCAAATTTCCATTAATTGAAAATGTTTTAACATCAAACAAAATAAACTAACAATTTTCACCAAATCAAAGCATAAAGCCAAAATGCAATGACGTGAATTCACCTCTATCATATCAGTATAGACCTGCATGAACATGTTATTATAATCATGTAACTGTGCTTAAAAGTCCCTATGAGGATTTTAAACAAGTTTTGCAGCTACCTGCTGTCAGACAATAGCACAGATATACTTACAAAAAACATTGAGAGCGTTCTCCGAGCATGTAGGCGTCGCTGGAAGGAAATGTGACAAAGACAGTAAGCAGAGCAAAAAGCACAATTATGCAAAGCAGAAACTCAACAAGAAGGTCATGAACATTCAGCCTGCACATAAGAGTAACTGGTAAACAAGACACATGACCACACCATTTTCTATATGCTTTCTTGGAAAAAGGCAAGATGGGATTACATGCTTCCTTACCACATTTTTCAAGATAAAGAAGTCAGGAATTTACATAAAGGGTATTGGAAATGTGGAATTTTCAGCCTGATGAGGCTACAAACATTTCAGCAATTGCAACTTTTATGGAGCAATGGGAGAACATTTAAAGCAGACTTAATGAGAATTCAATAATGTAGTAATAATGTCCGATTCATATGCTTCAGGAAAGAGAGAGACAGCTAGAAAGGAGCTGAAGTTCTAATCTCATGTAAAGAACATGTATGTCTATAGATCAAGCCACATATAAAGCTTTATTGCAGAGAGTTCCATGTGGCATAATGGTGTGTGATCATAATCTCTGGTATCATACTATCTGGGATGCCTTCGGCAGATCACTGCCACAAAACCTTCCTTTGGTATTAGTAACAGTTACTGATACCATGCAGGGAAGGATGCCCATGCTAAGTTTTCAGCAGAGGAGAGGCTCAAGCTTGCTATAGAGCAAAGATTAATTGAACTGCATTCAATAGCTAGTTACAGTACACCTTGGATAGATGATGTTCTCTTGAGACATCAGATTCAACCTAAGAGTAAATTTACATTACTACTAGCTACATGGACTTTGCACTGGAATGAATAGTCTAGTGTATTTATGATTAGGTGATGAGAGTATGTGAGAAATATCTGTGTGGATCTGCCTTTGAAATCAGAACAAAGCATCTGATTTTGAGATCTTTGTACAAATACATGGGTTTCTGAAAAGGGAGTCCAATGGTTTTCATGGTCCAGGTCATGTAATGTTGTTACAAACAGTGGTAAAATCCTATGATGGAACAGAACACAAAACTGACACATCAGAATATAGATCGTACATAAGCAACCATCCATCATACAAGAGTATGACACCAATACTGCAAGTCTCACACGAGACAATAACCAGACACTTATAACACATTATACGCAAGCATCCACAATGATAGGTAGCTCACCAGAGACTGAAGCTACACGGCTGAGAAATTGCACAGGCCACAGATGGAATACCATGTACAGTTCTGGTCACCACACTATCGGAAGGATATGATTGCACTGCAGAGTGCAGAAGAGATTCACCAGGATGTTCCCAGGGATTAAAAGTCTCAGCTATGACAGGAGACTGGATAAGTAGGGTTTGTTCTTTTGGAGCAGAGAAGGCTGAGGAGAATCTGATTAAGGTGTAAAAAGATATGAGAAGCTTAAAGAGGGCAGATTGTGAGAATCTATTCGCCATGGCAGACATGTCTAGGACTAGATGGCATAAATTTAAAGGTAAGGAGTAAAAGATTTTCACCTAGAGACACATAGAAATATGGATTGAGCTGTCTAAGAGGGTGGTAGACCCAGGTGCTCTTTCAACATTTAAGTGTCATCTGGTGAGCACATAAAATGCCAGGGCATTGTAGGCTATGGACCAAGTGCAGGTAAATGAGATTAGTAGTTTGATATTTGTTAGTCGGCACAGACATGGTGGGCAAAAGGGCTTGTTTCTACGCTGTATGACTCTTGAAATAGCAATCCCAAACTGGTACATCTTGCTTTCTACTTCACTCAAACACTTGATTGTGAGATCATACAAATGGAATAAAGAGCAGCACTGGTCATATCAACAGTTAAATTTCTCTTCTGAAGGTATCAATAATATTATCATAACTCAATAAATGTGGATTCAAGAAATATTGAGCTTTGAATTCAACTTGGACAGGAAAGTAACACAAACTGTATCAGATGGGCAACCTGCTTTACACATTGAATAATTAACTTTTCTGTTGACATCAACATTAAAGAAAATATCGGAAATGTGTGAAACAGGAAGCCAATGCAGTTATGTTCATTTTCCCTCATGTCCAGGGTGAATTTATACAAGGTCCAATGAAAGCAGGTTTGAACACAGAAGGCAAACTGAAAACTGATCTTCTATTGTTGCAGCATCCCTCATATCAATGTCTACCTGTTGCATTCAAGAACGTCAGTGGATAAAGAATCTTAATTTCCTTTGGTGATACAGTTGGCCAGACAAGGTGCATTGGTCATGGGCTCCTTGCAGCCAACCTAATGCGCAACTGAAAACTGTTGATACTAGAGAATCAAGTTTTACCAGTGTTTGATTTGCTGATAACATCATGGCATTGCTGTCATCCCCATGAATTGGAATGAGTGGCATAGTTCCAAATTTCTGCTTGGGTACATCAGATGATGAATGACGCCTCAGAATTGTAGGCCGTAGATCATCGTGCTGATAGAAAGGAAAGATTGCATTACACCAGTGACTACAGATCAGAAGAATTTCATTGGCTGTAAGGTGCTTAGAGGTGCTATACAAATGCAAATCATTTTTATTTATTTTTATTATCTGAAACGTGAATCCATTGCTCTTAACAATGTTCTGTTTCTTCTGGTTGTGAAAACAATAGCCCTTATCTTGAAGCATACATTTGTATAATTCCAATAACTGGATCTGCTTCCTCAGGGCATGCTTTCCACAAGAAATTCAAAAAATGCACAAATATGTTCTTCCTTTTTTTCCCTCCCTTCTTCTCTCTCCCTCTGTAGTAATTTTATCCCCCACCCATCCACCAACCCCTTTTAACTACCTACCTAAGGAATCGGGAAGGAGCCAGGTGGCGAATGGGAACCACATGGCAGGAGCTGAATGCACTGGTTGTGCCCTGCAGTGATGGCGAATCCAGCGTGGGCCGGAGCGACGGCAGCGGATCAAGAGTGGGCCGGTGAGGCAGCCCAGAGTGGGGCGCTGGCGGCAGCACGGCGAGGGGTGGAAAGCACAGAGCCGGACTGCGGCAGTGGAGAGAGGACTGCGGCAGTGGAGAGAGTCTAAC